ATAGAAGATGAAGAACACCATGACGAACAGGGACAGGAAGGGGCTTCCCAGGTCGTTCGGCAGTAAAGAATCTGCCTGCCGACTCAGGAGACATGGACTCCACCCCTGGGTGGGGAAGGCCCCCTAGAGAAGGCATGGCAAGCCACTGCAGTACTCTTGCCCGGAGAATCCCTTGGACAGGGGAGTCTGGCGGTCTCACAGAGTCGAACACGACTTACCGACCAAACGACGACAGGGATGGGAAGGGGCGGTAGACCAAGCGTCCGCTCTTTAGAGGCCCGTCTTGGCGGGATTTCGGTCTGTTGATGATTCGGATGGTCCTCGGTGGACAGTGTGTGCTCACTGTGGTCCATACCTACGACATTTGCCTTAACTGAGGGCCCAGATCCCAGCCAGGAGAGAAACAAGTCTCCTTGGGGCCATTCAGGCAGGATAGATAAGGACCAAGAGACCACTCAAGCCCGAGGGGAGAGCGAGTACGTGGGCCATTAGAAATGTCCAGGGGCTTCAGAGTTATCACCAGCCTCTGGCTTTCTGTAGTTGACAAAAAGCTGTCTCCCTCTTGCACCCAAATGGGGTTTCCAGACTCTAGGCCTCAGCTGAGCCACAAGGGAAACTGGTGGCTCAGATGGTAAAGCATCTGCCTGCAATATGGGAGACCTGCGTTCGATCCCTGGGTCTGGAAGGTGCCCTGGAGAAGGAAATGACAACCCACTCCAGTACTCTTGCCTGGAAAATCCCATGGATAAAGGAGCCTGATAGGCTCCAGTCCATGGGGTCACAAAGAGTCAGGCACAACTGAGCGACTTCTCTTTCTTTTTTCTAGGCCTCAGGGCCCAAACTAGAGGGACTCTGTCCAGAGCAGAGGCTGGGCTATACCCAGAAGTGACTTTAGAGGTGGAAGGCAGGCTGGGTGTGGGGCTGGGTGCACCTGCTCCTCCTTGGTATCTTGGGGCAGGTGGGCCTGGCCCGGTCCAGACAGCAGACTCCCCACTCCTTGGCTCCTGAGGGATGGGACGCTGCAACAGCTGGCGGGAGCCTGCTGTCTGTGTCCACCCCAGTCTGGGGCTTCTAAATTTAACCTGCTATCAGCCTGAGAGGCCGGAGGCTTCCACCGAGTGACAAAATGCCACTTGGAATCCAGTATGCTCATAAGCACTCCCCCTGCACAATCCCCTCCCGAATGTCACCCCCAAACGCAGGCAGCCATCTGGGCATCCTCCCATGTCAGCGTGAAGATGCGAATGTCCGAGCAGCTGCAGACCCTGATGGGGTCCAGCCCGCCTTCCTCCTGCTGTGAGCCAGGGCCGCACCCCATTGTCTGTTCACACGCGTGCACACATACACTCACACGCGTGCAAGCACACACACACCCACACGCACGTCGCGGTCTCATGGGCAGAGCGCAGGAGCTGACTCTAAGGTCGAAAGCCAAACCACGACAGCGAACTGCGCCACCCATAAGCCACCTGGGTGGAGGGCGGCCAGGCCCATTATGCAATTTCCTGCTCTGGTGTTTCAGGCCCCGGAGACAGGATGCAGAGTGCCGTTGGGATGCTGCAATGCGGGAAGCCCAGGAAGGCATCAAACCAACGAGCGCCGCCGTGAATGGGGCCCCGGGACCTCTGCGGCCCGCTGAGCGGGCGGCCCCTCCCAGGCAGGGACCCAGCGGGCTCACCATGGGCCCGAGAATGACTTCCGGTTGGGGGAGGAAGGCATTTCCTGCCTGGGGAACCCAGGATGACTGAGCCACAAACAGGGGGGCCTTCTCATTGTTTTCTCTGTTTCTGTTTTGCTTTTAATTTTTGGCCGCCCAGCGTGGCCAGCCGGACCTTAGTTCCCTGACCAGAGATCGAACCCACGGCCCCTGCTGTGGAAGGGCGGAGTCCCAAGCACTGGACCGCCAGGGAAGTCTCTTGGCGGGGCCTTGTTATTAATAGGCACCATTATTGGGCACCAAATGTGTGCCCCATAGTGACACTGAGGTTGAGAGCACACAGAGGAAGGTTTGGGGTGGGGTTCAAATTCTGGCTCTGCTTCTTCCCAGATGCATGGTCTTGGGCAGCTTATCCACTTGCATTCTCCCTCAGTTTCCCCATCTGTGAAATGGGGACCAAGATAACACCTGGCATGGAGAGAGGGTTCAGTAACACCCAGAACCCAAGTGGAATGGGGTGTTCTCACCACGTCAGCCAGGGGGTGGCTATTCAGAGCACCCCATCTTCCATGCATGGTAAGTGGGGTCAGAGGGGCTCGATCTTCTTGTTGTGAGTCTTGCCCATGGACCTTGAGTCCATGGCCCACCTGTAGAGCCCACACCCACTCCAGGACCTCTGGCCTGTCCCAGCTCCCATCTTTCCATAAGAAATTTCCGATAGAAGACAGTATTTAGGATCAGGGTTCTGGCCCCACACAGCCCCTTTCAGCAGCTGCAAGTGTGGGCAGGGCGCAGGGCCCTGTCCTTGGTTGACCTTGACTTGGCAGCTGTGTCTCCACGTGAAGAAGGGTTTGCAAATCTGCGGGTAAGGACCCAGTCCACACACTAACCCTCCTGTCACACAGTTTCTCCTGTTCGCCAGAAAACCAAGCTGTCCCCGAGTCCTAGCTGCATATCCAGCCTCCTGCCCCAACCCAGGGGCACCATGGGTGGGGAACCAAGGTCCCCGGGCTGTGGACGACAAAGTGACCCGCCTCCTCCTAGGTTCTCGTTCCAGGCCCTTAGCACCAGAACCCCCAGACTCCAGCCATATACCCACCCCCAAATACATTCACCCCCTAGGTTAGAAATACAAAGCCATCACCACCACCCTGCCCCCTTGCCAATGAAGCCACCACTTCAGAAACATCCAGATCCTAGCCAGGCCTACTTTAAAATTACATTTTATTCTCTTTGTATTTGTTGCTGTTGTTTTAAAAAGGTTCACGGTACATTTTTTTTTTTTCAAGAGTCTTGTGCCTCCTGGTAAGTGCACTGGTTTGCTTTCACAGTACTCTCCACGACCGCGGACGGTCCTTATTGCTGAAGGAGTGTGTCCACGCCGGGGAGTGGGGACACTGGAGGGATGGGGGGAGCCCAGGTGAGAAGCCTGGGTCTGTGTTCCTGACCCGAGAGGCTGAGGGACCAGACCCAGGCTAAGTCAAGCATCCTTAGCCACACCTCCGGCCTCCCAGGGGTCATCCCAGCCCTGTCTTTAGAAAGGCCGGGAGGGGTAGAGAGAAAGGGGAGAGGGGTAGAGGATGGGGGGGTAAGCCAGGCAGCAAGCCGACTGGGGGCCCAGGCATGCGGTAGGCATGGAGGTAGGGTGGAGGCAGCTGGAGCAGCGATGGCCTCCAAGAGGGCCCTCCTCCCTCTCGGGGGGAGTGGGCTTGGGAGACTCTGCCCCCGAACAGCTCAGGACCACCCCTCCCCCCGTCAGAACACCTCTGCGATGGCCCAGCCCAGAAGCAGCAGTCTGGTTCCTGACCCCTCGCCCAGAGCCCTCTCTCCTTTTAGTGCAAGAAAGACCTGAGTGCAGAGAAGGGCCTCGCCGCCTAGAGGCCAGGTCCCGTCTATGGCAGCTGGAGTTCACCACCCCAGCCCCTCCACAGCTTGTCCCCAGAGCAGGGGACCTGGGACCCATCATATCCCCCTCGCCGGAGGCTGTGGCCTCTCTGGGTGGCAGACATCCCTCCAAACACACCCCAGGGAAGCTGGCCATTTCCCCCCAATCCCCCCCAACCCCGGGGCCTGACAGGGGTCCCCGAGCACCAGGTGGGCCGCCGGCCACACCAAGTTCTCCCCCATCCAGTGGTTCCAGGAGAGCTGCCCGCCTCCCATCAGGAGCGGGCTCGGGAGATGGCTGGACAGTAAAGCACCCCTTGAATAAATGCAGTATCCCACGGATAAAGGAGCAGAACGAGGACTCAGTGACCCACGCCCTCCCATAGTCACTGGGGCTCCTCCAAGTGGCTCATCTGTAGCAGAAATGCCTTATTTCCCTCATCTGACAGTTTTCTGTGCTTGACTATGATTGGTTAGAATGAGGGACCCAGGTGATGTCGCTGTGAGTCTAGCAAGCTTGGAGGAAGGGGGCTTCAGCTGGGTGTCCCCTCAGCTCCTGCAAGCAGCAGACGTTGCCGGAAAAAAAAAAAAAAAAGCTTGGCGTCGCTCAGGACCAGGTCCTGGGGCTCCAGAGGGCCCAGGCCCACTACCATCCCCCAGCAAGGGGGGCCCTCGTTCCCTTCTGTGAGGACAGGCAGCGGGGGTCTGACTTCTGGAGCCTGTCTGCAGCATCCCCCCACCCAGAGTATCTGGGAGGGGCGTCCCCTGAGAAGATGCTGCAAGGAGGTGCAGGCCCTCTTACCTCTGAACTACAGCTGGGGAGGGTGGCTGGCCCCCTGCAGGTGTCGGGGACCAGTGTGGATGGAAAGAGAAAAGCTGAGATGTGCCAACAGACCCATCCAAGGACCAAGATGCTGGAAATTCCTCGGGTTCTAACCTGCAACTCACAGGACCCGCCCTCTCTCCTCCCAGACCCACCCAAGGCAAGTTCTGGCTGCAGTGGAGAGAGGTGGGATGCGGGACCGTGGGCCCGAGCTCAGAGCCCCTCTGCAGGCAGGGTGTCGGGGATGGGGTTCTACCTGGGGCAGAGAGAAGGGACTTCGGGGGCAGAATCTGTCTGTGGTTTCGGCTCAGCTAAAACGAAAGAATGAGCAGCTGGTTTTAGATCTACCTTGGTACCCCCGACCACCTGGGCAATACCCAGGAGGGGCTCGGGGGCGTCTCTCTCTTTTCCCATCCCCTCCTCCCTTGCCTCTGGCAGAAGATATAAAGTCCAATAGAAAAGAGATCCTGCTTTCTTTGTTCCGGGTTTTTTTTTTTTTTCCTTTAAAATCAGCTTAAGGCAAAAGTTTGGCAAAGCAAGTCTACATAAGGCCGCAAGACGGAGGACAAGGGTGGGGGGGGTGTCTTTCCCCTGGAGGGGCCCGCTGCACCCACCAGGTTCATCACCAGCTCCTCCTCAGACCCTGAACCTCGTGAAGAGGCGTTTTTTAAAAAAAAGAAAAAAAAAGAACAGAAAAAGCAGTTGTTTCAGGGCGTCTGTTGCAAACAAATGATCTTGCGAGGAGAGGAAAGGAGACCCAGGGTGACACTGAGGGTGCACGTAGGGGGTCGGTCCCGCCTGGGTCTCCCCCCTCCCCGAGGAAAGCAGGTTCCAGAAGGGCGGGGGCGGGGCGGGGCGGGGTGGGGCCATCCCAGGGGCATTCGCACAGTGAGATCCGCCCCGCCTGAGAAGGTAGAAAGGTTGTATTTCGCTGAATGACCGCAGAGTCCGTGTGGGGGGTCGCTTGAGCGGTGTCCTCATCCAAGTGTCGCCCCGCGGGCGCCCCCCGGCCGCTACCGGTGCTTGGGCGGGATCACCACCAGCGGCTGCCCGAACTTGGGCCGCCACATGAGGACCTGAGCGTCGTTGGCATTGGGCTTGACCAGGGCGCTGGGTGGGATGGGCTCGTTCTTGCTCAGGATTTTGGGCTGGTCCTGGGCGATGGGCTCCCGGAGCCGGGCACGCTGGCCCAGGGGCCGGTTGGGGTTCACCTCGATGCTCAGCTGCATGCGCCAGTGCAGGGTCTGCAGGATGATCATGTCGTTGGTCGAGGTGTTGGTGGCTACCAGCCACGTGATGAAGCTCTGGTCCCGGTAGATGTTGGTCAGTTTGGCCACGTTGTTCTCGCTGATGGGCACGGCCCACGTGACGCTGGGGTAGAAGTTATCGTTCATGCTGATGATGAACTTGGAGTTTCTCTTGGTGGGGCCCACGATGGTGCAGGTCTCTGTCGTGTTACCATACCACGGGTAGTTCACCCCATCCGAGTCGCTGATGGCCTCGATCTTGCCTTCCTGGAGGTCCGGGAGCTCCCAGCTGGACCTGAGGATGGGAAGGCAGTTTACATCACCAGCCAGCCAGTCAGCCAGCAGGCTGGTCTGCATCCCTTTGTCCTGGGGGCTCACCTCTGGGGCAGGGGGGAGGGCCGATAGGAAACAGACAACCCAGCATCAGGTCAGGGAATCGGGGCTCCCCTAGACCTGGCGCCCCACCACCCCTCAAAAGCCACATCCTGTTCTCTTGCATCATCTCAGATTGATCTTCCCTTGGAAACCACTCTAGATGGGGCTGGACTTTGGGAAGCCCTGGTTGCCCCTGGCTGCCCCTGGCAGGGGCATGTGTCCCAGGGAGGGCCTGGGGGCAGCACACAGTAATGGGGAGCGCTGACGTGTGCTGGGCCCCCCCCCCCGGGTCCCGGTGGCTGGTGGAACAGCCACATGCAGCCCTGGGATTTCTGTGAGGGCAGAGGCTGCTGACCAGGAGAGGCTGGGCGTCGAGGGACTCTCCTGGACACACAGCACATCAGGGCGCCCTGCATGGCAGCACAGGGGGCAGAGAGTTTCTTTCTCTTGCGTTACAGGCTGACAGGAAGCTTCAGGGCCCAGTGGCCGTGAGGTCAACACATCTAAGAGTGATTTCAGTCCCTCCATTGACCAGCACGTGACCTAGGTCAAATGCCTGTGCTGTCTGAGCTTCGGCGTTAGCACCCAGGCCAGAGGCACAGGAACCAGTGCCCGGAGCCCTCGCTCAGACTGTCCCCTCCCCTCCACATCTCCTCCACCCGTGTGGGTCTGGGCTCCCTGGCCCGCCGCCCAGCATGGCCAGCATCATGGGTAGTACCCCTTTCTTTCTGCTCACGCCCGCCTAGAAGAGGAAGCACAGTACAGCCTGAGTTGCTCCCACCCAGTCGGCACCAGAACCAAGAAAACCTAACCAGCCCATCTCAAAACACCATACTCAGTCCCTGGCTCCAGGCCAGCTATACAATCAATGCCTCCTGGCCTTGCTGCAGCTGCCAGGGAACCTGCACTTGCAGCTTTAGGCCCAGCTGAGTACCAGCAGCACTTGGTCAGCCCATCTTGATTTCAGGGGCTCAGTCTTCCTGGGGCAGAAGAAGGCAGCTAGGCTGTCTGTGGAGTTTGGACTCAGGAAACCTAATGGCCTTGCTCAAAGTCTCAGCCACCCTCTCACTGGTGTGACACCCTGAGCAAAGTCCCTGCACCCCCTGGGCCCCAGACTCATCACCTTGTCCCACCTGGGCTCATGGAAGGATTCAGGCAGGAACATGCCAGCCCAGGGCAGGGCACAGGACAAAGGCCAGTGGCTGGTGTCTGCTAGGTCTGCTGTCGCCATGGCTATTGCTATAATAATAGCTCTCAGACAGAAGAGGACACTGGCCTGTCCCAAGTCACTCTGAGGACATGTGGGGCTGGACAGCAGCACCCGGGGAACCCCCCCCCTTAGAGACTCATCAACAGTCACCTCCACCCCACTAGGCAGATAAAGTAAGGGAAGCTGAGGGTAGGGGTCTTTTTCCCCAGGTGATTCAGCTGAGCAGAGAGACCTGGGCACCTGCCACACCAAAACTCAGGACGCTTTGCCCCCAGAATTCTGCACACCTGTGTACACCAGCAGTTCTCTCCAGAATATATATTACAAAATGCATTTTTATTCATGGCAGCACTGTTCACAATAGCCAAAGCGTGAAAACAAACCCAAGTGTCCATCACTGGACAATGGATAAAGTGGTCAGTCCATTACAATGGAATATTATTCACCCTTAAAAAGGAAATTCCGACATGTGCTACAACATGGAGGAACCCTGAAGATATTATGCAAAGTGAAATAAGTCAGACACAAAAGGACAAACACTGTATGAATCCACATATGTGAGGTCCCTTGAGGACTCAAATGCAAAGAGACAGAAAGCAGGATGTGGTTGCCGGGGGCTGGGGGAAGGGCATGGGCAGCCAGGGTCCCATGGGTGCAATCTCAGTTGGTGAAGATAAAAAACTTTCTGGAAATAGACGCACAACAGTGTGGATGTTTTTAATAGCACTGAACTTAAAAACAGTTAAGATGATAAATTTTATGTATATCTTTCTTGTTGTTGTTTAGTCACTCAGTCATGTCTGATTCTTTGTGACCCCATGGACTGCAGCCCGCCAGGCTCCTCCGTCCATGGGAATTTCCAGGCAACAATACTGGAGTGGGTTCCCATTTCCTCTTCCAGGGGATCTTCCCACAGGGATCAAAGCTGCGTCTCCTGCTTTGGCGGGCAGATTCTTTACCACTGACCCACCAGGGAAGCCCATGTATAACTTAATCATAATTAAAAATGCATTCCTGAGATGCATCATTTAATGTTAGAAGTTAGTAAATGTGGTCACTACTGGAGGGTAATTAGGAATGTGATTTTCCTAATTTTTCTGTTTATATCATTAAAAAGGTCACAAATTAGCGTAACACCTGTCTCGTAGGCTGTCTCCAGCCCGGGGCCCTGAGCTCATCAGACTCCAAGCGAAGAGGTCACAGTTGTGAACTGGGAGATTCAGCTGTCCCAAGGGGATGGCCATCATGGACCAGAGAAGGGGGTCAGGGTCCTGTCCTGAATTTCCCAGAAGCCCGTGTCCCACCTGTATCCAGCCTCCTGGAAGGTACCCACTCTAACTTCTCACGGTGTTTCACTCTTAAAAATTGGTTTTTTTTTTAAAGGCAGAAAGCCATCTCGCCAAAGGCCCCGTTTCACTTCCTAAGAGCTGGCTTGTTTGGGGGAGTGAGGCTTGGTACCCACATAGCCCCCTCTCTCTGTCTCAGCCTCTGACCCCAAAGCTTCAGGTTCCCTTTCCCCTACCAGCCCCCCCAAATGCCCAGGCGCTGGCTCAGTCACAGACGGGTGACGGTCCCCGTGAGCGAGCAGACAGCCGTGTCTCACGTGGCGTATTACTCAGAACCAGGGCCAAGGGCGTCTGTTTTCACATCATCGCAGGCCAGAAGAGCTAGCTCTGGTCCCCTCTGTCCAGTCTCCGAGTCGAGGTGGTACGAGAGGGCGTGGATAAGGGCACAGCAGCTGAGGGATGTGGGCCAGTCTGGGGCCAGTATCTCCCTGGCTACCAGCTTTGGTCAAGTCACAGATGTCAGCTCCAAGCCGGTCCACTGTGGTAATCACACCCACCTTCTTCAAGGTTTCTGTGATGATTAAGCCTGTCGACACATACCACCTGGTATGCGATAAACAGCAAAACATGCAAACTCCCGGAGAACATCTGAGGGAGGCGTGCCTCTCACACTAATGGATTTGCCAGCCCTGATGTGACCTGAGGCCTCCTGACCTCATTTATGTTTCCAGATTATCTGGGCTCTGAAAGGAATAATTCCATACAGTTCCTGCCTCGAAGACTTCCTGTTTGTTCTGCAGGGACCTCGGGCTTCAAGGCAGACACTCAGTTTTCCGCTCCCTGCACACCCTGAGCCTTCTGGTTTGCAAGGTGAGGACAGTACAGCTACAGATGTCACCGAAAGGTCTGGGCAAGGCTCTCGGGTCCACACAGATGCCCAGCCACCACCAGATCTAGGTGGAGGAGGGGGATTTGTGAACACGAGCAACTGCCCATCTCTGCCCCAGCACCTCCTGTCCAGACCCCAGGGCAGGTCCTATCAGGCCTCCCACAGGGGAGTAGGGGACATGGTCTCCCCCGTTTCCTCCCCCCTTTGCTCACCAGCCTACACTGGTCTTCAGGGTGACAGTGGCCACAGGAAGTGTGGGACCAGCGCGAAGTGAAAAAGTTGTTCAAAAGTTAAGAACTGCCACGTGGTGACAGTGGCCTGGCACCAGGCCGGGGGCCCTTCAGGGCACAGGACCTCGCTATGGCCACGCCCAGGAAACTGGCCCGCTTCCCGTCTCTCTCCCACCCTCATCCTGGAGGTGTGGGAAAGCAGAGGACAGCAGGCAAGTCCAGGCTTCAAGCCGGACCGCAGATGGTTTCTGCGGCCCGCTGGCAGCACATCTGAGCCAGACTCCCGAGTTCCCCTCAACCCCCATTCCTTCTGCAGTGCCATCCAAAAGCCACTTAACATGTCTGCAGGGACCTGCCATGGGTGCTAGCCATGCCACCGTGGGGACCCAGTCATCAGCAATGTCAGGGGCCCCACACCCTCTGGACGCCCGAATCCATCCCTGACTCCCCATTCTCACCTCCAGACTGCCCCCCGCACCCCCTCCCTGGCCACGACCCTTCACCTCTCCCAGGTCTCCTCCTGCCATCTGCCAAGCTCTCCTCCCTGAAGCACAAGCGATCTTTAAAAACACAAATCGGATGGCACGCTTCCTTCCTCCAACCCCGTTAAATCTGCCGTGATCCCCCTCCCCACGGCCCTGAAAGTCAGATGCAGGCTAAGTTGAGGGCCCCCAGGTGCGTGCCTGCACACGTGCACACACACACACACAGAGACGCTCCGAGCAGTATGACGGATGGGGAGTGAGTCTGAAGGGGTTACAAAAGGCCTTCCCTGCAGGCCAGAGAAGGGGTTGAGGCTGTGCCAAAGGGTGCCCACAGAGGCTGGGGAGGGTCACCCTATGGCCCCAGGCCCCGCCACCAGCCCGAAGCTGGCTCTGCTCAAAGGCCTGTGGGTAGAGAGGGAAGGAAACCAGAGGTGCCCAGAGGCCAGAGGTGTGACCCCCCTGTGACCGCTGTTTCCTCCCACCTCACCTCTCCCTGTTTGCCCAGGCCACAGTCCCAGGGCCTGCCACGCGGCGGAAAGGGCCCAACAGCACCTGTTTTAGCTTTCAGTTATAAAAGCTGTGTTTTTGTTTTGCTTTAAAAAAGCAAGCCATAGAGAAGTATCTAAAGTGAGAAACGAGAGTCCTGCCTTCCGGGCCGCCCCCTCCCTCGCCAAGGGTACTCACCACATCCCACTCTGGTAAACATCCTTCTGAAGCTTTCTCCCAGCACACACCCAGTATACAGTCGAGTTTTTAGTGATGATCGCATGATACAGAATCTTGATTCGAGCCCCTCCTCGTCCTATGTAGCAGCCTCGCC